CTCGCATCTGGTCGATATTCGTTTTTTGATGTCACCATAATCAGAAAAAAAATCTCTATCATTCTGTCTAAGGAGTATTTTTCTACTATTTATGGATCCCGAGATAGAAAAAAGAAAAACACCGTTAAGTTGCCTTCTTTGATATGTTTACTACGCTAAAACGCAGGTAAGCAACATTATTAAACTAAAAAGTGACTAAGGGCTGATAATTTAACTTTTTCCCAGAGTATTTTCCATCAGTTGCATAACTAAATTGCCGTTAATAGAATTTTCTAGTCCATTATGGGGTTAAAGTAGGTACTTTAACGGTTTTATAGTAATACTTTGTTTCAAATTACAGTGTTCTAAATCAAACGCTAAACAGCCGTTAAATGAAAATACTAGACAAAAATGTCGCTAATATCACTTAGCGGCGTTTATGCGTAGTACTTAGATGTGTTTTTATTAAGAGATTTTGTAGTAAATACGCCAATAACGGCATTATCAATATGAAATATAAATATTTTGCTTATCACGTCGATCGCATAAATGCAGGTATCCCTCATACTATACTAAAACGCGGTTATGTACAGTGAATCGCTCGCTCTCGATCCGCGGTCTCCCGAGCTGTCTCTCTCCATTGATGAAGCAGTTCACCAAAGTTTAAAGCATAGAGATAATAATACCTGTAATATACTCGTAATATACTTCTAAGTCAGTGGTTTAAAGGGAAGGACGTGTCACGCACCGCATTCCCGCCAATTGTTACGATGGCTGACAACTACTCAAGGTAAAACATTATTTAATTACGATTATTATTATTGCCGGTTTAGTAAACAATACAGATAGGATCAACATTCATTGTATGTCGGTCCAAAAAGTTTCGGTCTCGTCACGCAAACAACTTTTTTCTGAATCATTTTGAATCTGTGATGTATTAAAAGTATTAATTTAAATGATATAAAATAAATTACACTGTTAATCTACATAAATGCTTTCGGTAACTAGCACATTTTACTGGATACGTATTAATACTATACTGTTCAAAATAGCTTCGCAAGTAACTAAATGTTTTCTATTAAAGTAAAAAGATAAAATGGTTACATTTCGTCGACATTATTAACCAATTATTTTGATTCATAAATACTATTAATTGAAGATACTGTAGAGACCATTGTAGAGGATAATGTAAACCTACATTTTAATTGTTACAGGCGCACAACTATTTCACAAAGATCCAAAAACATTTTAGACATCATTAAGGAGAAAGATAGTACAGACACCACCTTGAGAACTTTATCAGAAGAAATAAAAGTCCTTATCGCAAGCTACTGCATTTTGATACATTATACTATAATAGGCCTTATTCGATGAGGTGCAATGTTTTTGAAATGTTTTGTGGTACGTAAAATACTTAAAATTCACATGTGCTTTCATCGATCCTGAATAATTTGAATAAAGATGTTAAAACTTATCCTGCTCAGAGCCATGACGCTTTACCAAATTCTGATCAGGTGTAAATCGATTTAATCTGCAACGAAGTGATACCGTTAGAATAACTCACATTTAATGTAACTGAACAAAATGATATTAGTTCATCAACGTACGCGTTGCAATGTGGTTTTGATTCCGACGACTCTGTGCGTGATAAAGACTATCTCCCATCTGATTCAAGTAGTGATTCAAGTGACAATTTTGAATCAGTTAAACCAAGAAGCCAAAAGTCCCAAGTGTTACAAACAAACAAAAGTTCTAAAAAAAGGGTTCACAATCCATATTTACACCAGCTGTAGTCAAGTGTGTGGTCACGAAGAGCTTAACTTCAGACGTTCTTGACACTGTTACTTTTACTCATGAAAGAAAAAAATTGCGGAATAAACGCAGAAGTTCAATAAGTTTTCCTTGTGCTGATAAATATATTGCGGCGTCGCTACTTCCTTGCAATCATAGGAACACCACTGACGTAAGCTACGCGTATCTAACATTGTATCAAGTCAATGAATCTGTTGCAGTCACTTTGGAACCTTCACAACCAAAACAAAAACGTAAAAAATATGACACTGCCTTATTTCAGCACAAAATAGATGCCAAAAAAGTTAGAATATAATGTTAAAACGGGGTGTAACGAAACCTACCTAAAAAATGTACTTCTATATTTAGTCAATACGGGCGAGAAGCAATCAATAAAATGTACTGGGACTTGTCCTGGCGAGAAAAGCATTTATTCTTGAATGCACACACTTCAGTAGCAGTTATAAAGAGAAAAATTACCAGTGACCCGAAAAGGAAACCAAGATGGGTATTTACATTTAAACAACTAGACGACATCAGAGTTGAGGTATGCAAACCCTTTTTTTTACTACTTTATGTTATATTAAAACAAACGACAGAATCTTGCATAGCTCTCATATAGATCCCCGATTTACTGATAAAGGAGGAAAGCACCAGAAAACACTTGCTTATGATCGTAATTTGTTGACTCAGCAAGTTGAATCGTTTCACCCATCAGAACCCCACTACAGGCGTGAACATGCTCACTGCGAGGATATTTTTCAAATGATATTGTATAACTAACATGCATAGACATTTCCGTAAGAAATATCCGGATAAGATCGTTTCGTATTTACTATATAGGCAACACGTTTATTTTTTATTCATACGTGGTAGAGCCATGCTGCAGTTATATTAGGAGTATAGTTGTAGCACGAATGGGTCGGCTCGACCGGGGAAGGACCATGCTCCCACAGAATACCAGCGTGAATTAGTAGCTTAATGCTGCTGTATTTGGTATGGTGAGTGTAGAGAACCGGAGGCCCTTTTTACTGGAAACGAGGCATTCCATCTTTGTCCTCACGGGTGACATCGAATCTGCATTTTGATTTGTAATCGAGGATAGATGTAGATGTCTATGGGCCACAGCAACCACTTACCATCAGGTGGACTGTGTGCTCGTTTGTCACCCGATCCCATAAAAAAACGCAAAAAAATAAATATTTCGTTTACTCGTTTGGGTAATGAAGAGTGTGAAATGTGTGAAGCCTATACTTTGCATAAAAAAGAAACATCACATGATGCCGGTAACCAGATTGACTTAGACTGTACTGTATGTGTGGAGTGGGCATAGCATCATCAAAAATATAAAAAAGCAGGAGCTTTACAATGAACACAAAAAATTACCCCAAAATTATTTCCAAATACATTACAGCGCAGACCTAGAAAGAGAAATTATGTTGCCCAGATTCAAAGCTGCAATTTTTTGCAGAAGCCTTACGGTATTCAATCAGACATTTGCACTACTAGGCAAAATTAGTTCCTCTTCAAAGTCATATGGCATGATGGTATTGCAGGGAGAAAACAAGAGGACACCATGACGGCCTTCTACCATTTTCTTTTATGTAACCGAGACGATACTAATTTGAATATATGGCTCGATAAATGCAGTGCTCAAAATAAAAACTGGTCATCATACTCGTTACTTGTCTAGTTAATCAACTGTGAAATAATTTCAAAATTTGCTTTAAAAAGGTATTTTTGAAATATTTTTAGTTTTTTCATAAGATAACATTATATATATATAATATATAAGGTGAAGATTATTTTTATGTTTTTTTTAGTTATTTGTTAAGATCTCATTTTCAATTATTGTAAGTAAGTCCTCGCAAAGTAACTTTGTTAAAATTAAAGAAGACTGTGTCATTAAATGATTGATTTATATTTTATAATAAGCTCTTTTATTTCTATAGGTTACTACTACTTTATTTGATTTCCTCAACTTTCGTGTGGTAGTTTCAAAACTAAAACGCCGTTACGTTTTAATGTTTTGTATTTAGCGGCATTTAAGCCATGTAATCAACCTAAAAAATAGATGCAGAAAAAATATCCCTATAAGTCACTAGTCTTAAGTGCGGCTACGTGGTTTTAGCTGCATTATGGCTTTGCATAGTGTTTGTTCTCGGAGTCATAATGCTAAGCTATAACAACGTTAAAGTATTTAGGGGCATTATAGTTTAGTAATGAAGATATTTTTTGAGACTTTAATGTCAATAAAATTAAATGAAAATCAAACACTAAAGTGCCGTTATAGTAGGCTTAGCGGCATTATAGTCGTTGTTTCATAAGTTGTAAATTGTAAAAATACTAAACTAAAACGCAAAAAGCTATTTTTGTTAAGGTTAAATCATTATTAAACAAGTAAAAGTATAGCTTTTTGAAAGCGCAAAACTAGATCTAATTTTTGATATTAATAACTCTCGCATAAAAGTTATAGTTGTGAAATGGCATCCATTTTTCATTTTTCCGCGCTTTTTTTGTCCTTAACTTTAAATATGGTTTTGTTGGATAGCGGCATTATAGCTTGCGGACGGCAGATATACTGTCCTATGTTTTGGAACGAATCACCAGTATAGCGTCGACTCATGACGTCATTCGCATTCGACAGTGTACTGGATTGTATTTCGGAACATACCCATGGTATTCCTGTTTTTGTAAATATTGGACTGATAAATCTATATGGATTGAAATTTATAAAGATTATAATATAAAGTAGACTTGGCCTTTATGGTTTTTGAAAATATGAAGAATTAAAGAAAATAAGATTTGGCTTCGGCCTTTATGGATTTTGAAGAGATGGAAAGAAGAAAAATAAAGCTTAGTTCCGAACTTTACATTTCAAAATTCTATATATTAAAAAAATGATAAGGCTGTATGGCTTAGTTCCTTTGCCTGCTCTCTCGAGCGAATAATAAAAACAACAACAATCACTCACTTGTAAACTTGTCATTGCTTTGTCAGTGACGTGATAAGATACGAATGGGCTATGAATGGATTATAAATTCACATTTAAAATCTTGTTTACTTCCATATTCTAATCAATTATAAGATATAATATAATAAATATACTTACGAAAATATGTGATTTTAACCAAAAAAAAAATTGTCTTTTATAAAAATGCTGAGTCAAAACCCACTAAATTGTTGCTGGAAGAGAAAGTGTCTCAAATAAATAACGGGTCGATACGAATATGTCCGTTTCAGAATTATCTGTGGGATGTCGTTTTGCTGATTATTTTGCGATATGCGGACTTGACTTTGATTCTGGATTGGAACCCGATAGGCTCTGTGGTGAATATCACAATTTAAAACAGTGCTTTTGTGTAATTTGCGTTAAATTAAGTTTTGCAATGTTTTATTATAGGTGACAATTTACATATATCACCGTTAGATCGTTCGTATAAAGGAAAAATCCTTGCTCACTATCCAGATAATATACACAGTAATCCTTTCGATGAACATGCAGTTTGTATGGTAAGTATAAGTAACATATATCCAAAGAAAATATTATTTTATAATACAACATGAAATTTTTACTTTTTTAAATTTTAATTTGTATGTTACATAGGAATAATAGTAATTGTAGGATAGCCCTCCATTAGATGGAGTGACTACCCAGTAAGACATGCAGAAAGTCGATGGATGTAGGTGACTCAGGAGGCCTATGTTTAGCAATGGACTCGTGAAGGGCTGTAATGATGATGATTGGAATTATTGTAACATGATGTAATTATTTTTCAATTCTTTATTATGTCTTTATAAAATATGTAATCGGAATACTCTGGCTGTAATAGTGGTGGTTGATACACATGTATCCTATTAAAGGTGGTAGTGTTTTTGTTAAACTACCTGTTAAGTACTTCTCCATTATTTAAGAAATGGACGATTATGGTTCACCTGATAAGGGCAGAACTACAGCCCCACAGAAATTGAATAGAATAGGATAGTTTAGTTTATGAAGGGCTGTTTTTCGCAACTCCATGTCTAAGCGCGTATTTTGCATGTGGGCAGGAATAATATGCCTATTCGAGCCATGATATATCCCCGAAGAAGCTCAGCAGTCCCTTGATGTTGCAAGCAACTTTGGGGAGCAATACCGGCGTGCCGAGATGTTTAGCCCTGTATGAAGCGACTTCTGGACATGTCAGCAATATGTTAGCCGCCGTTTCTTCCTCTCCCATGCATGCCCTGCACAGGGGGCTGTCAGTAACACCTATGGTGAACAAATGTTTGTTAAAAGAGCCATGTCCTGTGATAGCACTTGTTACTATCCTGATCTGTGGCTTGTTCAGTCTCATTAGAACCTTGGTTAGACGACTGTTTATTTCAGGTAGGGCCTCCCTCGCTTGTCTACAGTCTACTAAATTTTTCCAAAGCTGAGTGTGTAAATTATTGAAGTATCTACGTACCAGTGAACGAATGTAGCCAAAGGGGATTGGTATTATTGGTTCCGGCCCTATAGTTGCTAGGGCCAATCCCCTTTTGGCCAGTTCATCTGCTGCATCGTTGCCTCTAGATCCACTGTGTCCCTTGATCCATTACAGAGTCACATTGTTGTGCTTACATACCTCATTCAATCGTTGATGGCACTCGTATATCAGTCCCGAGTATGTCACATTGCAACTCAGAGCTTATAGTACCGCCATACTGTCGGTCAGTATTCTGATGGAGAAATATAATAGAATATTATAAATAGAATAGATTATTATAGAATAGAATGTACATGCGAACTCAACGCATCAAGCCAGGTAGGCAAATAACGCCACAGAGAGCAAACCAGTTTATTGACTATAACGGGGAGCGCGGTTCAATGCGTGCATCACAATAATAAGATGTATGACATAATTATTAGGCATAATAATTATCACGCTATGTATGTTGATGGCATCGGTATATGGTAAAGCTGTATAGCTTATGTTTATACTGTAATATACAAATCTAAATATTGTAAAATTATTATCAAATAAATAAATAAATAATAATAAATAAATATGTCCCTGAAATGATACAATACTACAACTAAAGAGTAGTGTCCGATGGGAATGTGAAAGTATATCTGTCTGTTTTAATAAATTTTAACAATTTGAAAATTCAAAAAAAAATGCACGTAGGAGGCGTCTGTAGATCATTAAAAAAATTCTTGATAGATTGTCCAGTGAGCATGTAAGCATCGATAAAATATACAACATATGTAATGTTAAACATGTTTATTATAAAAAAGAACTTAATACTAAAAAAACTAGTTGGAATAAAAAATAAATTTCCATGGAATTAAAAATATACTTTTCTAAATGAAAAAAAGTATATTTTAGTAAATGTAAAATAGTACAAACTCGAGGAGGGCACAAACGAGTGTTCTAATTTGTACCCCGGGTAGAAAGATATAAAGTATAAGCCGGAGAGGACACCTGTGTCTCGGTTAAAAAGAGCAAGGCCGGCTTCGCCGTCTCCAGGTGGTAGTGGACAGCATTAAGATTGGAATGAAGTGTCCTGATGTTGCAAAAATTCACGGATAGCGTGACAGGGGTCGCCTTGGTCTTATTGATCCCCCTTCCCCTAGAATATGCGGAGCAGCCTAAGCACCCACGCTCAGGAAGTGTAAAGTAGCTTGGTTGTGAATATAAAATACAAAATCCAGTTCGAGGCTGTTATGAAGGCGAACGGCTGGAATAAAAGTCAGGCCATGACTGCTCTCACACTAGGCCTGTGCGACCAGGCCTTAACAGTTCTGGAAGCTCTCGGTGAGGAAGTGACTTATGAGTAACTCCTTGAGGCATTGGACGCGAGATATGGTGACGCTCACCTGGAACACGTCTTTCGTGCGCAGCCTAAAGATCGTGTGCAGCGCATCAACGAAAACCTGCAGCAGTGGGCTCTAGAGTTGGAGAAGCTGGTGCGAACAGCATACCGGTCTGTACCTGCGCTCATTGAAGGGAACCTGGTGCAGACATTCATCGACGGCATCCGCGACCTAGAAGTCAGAGCTGCTGTGAGGCTCGGGCACCACGAGACGCTTAAGGACGCCTTGGCCCATGCACTGGAGGTGGAAGCCGTGCGGCAGGATCATCGTTCCCATCGCGTCAGGGAGGTTGCAGCAGCTACAGTTCGCGACCGCAACAAAGGATACAGCCCTAGGTGCTATGGCTGTGGGGAAAGGGGCCATCTTCGATCCAGCTGCCCTAAGCGAACTGTAGAAAGGGAAGTTGATCGATCTCGGGAGGGTAGTGCGGCCAACAGCACCGCCCAGCAGCAGCAGGGAAACGAGTAAAACCCAGAACTGCGGGGCGGATGCTGGCTGATGTTAAAAGAGCCCCAAGGATCTCGATCTCACAAACCCATGATGGGAACAGTCTGATTATCAAACAGTGTAAACTGACCATAGACACTGGAGCCTCTCGTACGGTTGTTATTTCCCAACTTATAAGTCAGTTCCTTGGGGACTCCGCATACAACCGAGAACGCATTAATTTGGTAACAGCCACTGGTCAGCGTATACCCGTCCGTGGAGAGAAGGAGATAGAGTTGAAGCTAGGCAACGTGATCTACCTGCATAATGTCATCGTGGCTGATATAATGGACGACTGCATCCTGGGCCTAGACTTTATGAGGAATAACTGTTGTGAGATCGACGTTAAGCAAGGTGTTTTGAAATGTGGACAGGAGGAACTTTTTATGGAAGGTGCGTTACCAGGGAACGTGTACAGCATTAAGAATATTGTTCTTCCGCCGAGATCGGAAACGATTGTTCCGGTTAGTCTTCCTCGAAACGTTGGGCAAGCTCACCGTTGTGTACTTGTGAAAAGGGTAAACAATGACCTTCGATGGAAAGTAGCTCGAACCTTGGTCAGAACCACTGACATCTCAGGAGTACGTGTGCTGAACCTTTGTGACCGGGAACAGATTATAGAAAAAGGCACGCTGGTTGGTACTTGTGAGGAAGTGGATTGGTTACGTCGGTGCCATATCTATCGAGTGAGACCCCCAGCAAGGGTGCGCAAACAAGAGTGACCACACTTTTGGAAGACTGTCGCATCGTTCTCTCCCCAAACGAAATGGTCAAGGCGAAGAAGTTGTTACTCAAGTATGCCGATGTATTCTCATCAAACGATGCTGACATAGGAAAGACTGGCTTAGTTCAACACAAAATAAACACAGGAGAAGAATTGCCTATCCGTCAGCGGCCAAGAAGATTGCCTGTAGCACGTGAAAAGGAAGTGGAAACCATGATTGAAGGAATGGTGAAGGATGGTGTTATTGAACCTTCCTCTAGTCCATGGTGTTCACCCGTGGTGCTGGTAAAGAAGAAGGATGGCAGCATGCGGTTTTGTGTTGACTACCGCCGTCTGAACGACGTTACAACGAAGGACAGCTATCCCTTGCCAAGAATTGATGACACGCTGGACATGCTTACAGGAGTAAAGTGGTTTAGCACGCTGGATCTAAAAAGTGGCTACTGGAAAGTTGAAATTGACCCTAAGGACAAGGAGAAAACTGCGTTCTCGACGGGAAAGGGTCTGTGGCAATTTAAAGTAATGCCGTTTGGGTTGTGCAATGCTCCAGCAACGTTTGAAAGGCTGATGGAACTTGTACTTACCGGGCTAATTGGCTATGCCTGTCTGGTCTACTTGGATGACATCATCATCGTAGGCCGTACGTTTGAGGAACACCTTCAAAACCTGGAACGCGTGCTCATGCAGGTTCAGAGTGCCAACCTCAAGTTGAGTCCGAAGAAATGTTCACTATTCAAACGGCAAGTCAACTTTTTGGGGTATGTAGTGTCGGAAGAAGGTATCCGCACGGATCCAGAGAAAATCGCAGCTGTCAATGATTGGCCGGTTCCAAAAGAAAAGACGCAGGTTAGAGCATTTTTGGGTTTGTGCTCCTATTACCGGCGATTTGTGAAGAACTTTGCAGATATAGCCAAACCTCTGCATAAGCTAACCGAAGAGAAGCGACATTTCTGCTGGGATGGAAGTTGCAATATCGCATTCCAGGAGCTCAAGGACCGTCTGTGCAAAACACTTATTTTGGGATACCCTGATTCAAGCAAAGAATTTATAGTTGACACAGACGCAAGTGATATAGGACTTGGCGGTGTGTTGTCCCAACGGAATGGTGACCAAGAGGTTGTGATAGCGTACTTCAGCAAGTCGTTGTCAAAACCGGAAAGGAACTATTGTGTCACAAGAAGCGAATTGCTAGCCGTGGTAAAGTCGTTGCAGTATTTTAGCAAATATCTTCTGGGGCGGAAATTTCACTTACGAACCGACTATGCTTTTTTAAAAATCCAGAAGGACAAGTTGCGAGGTGGATTGAACTACTGCAGGAATACGACTTTGAGATCGAACATCGCAGCGGGAAATCTCATGCAACGCAGATGCATTGTCAAGAAGACCTTGTCCTGAAGATTGCAAACATTGTACTAGGCAAGAGAGTAAGGAAGTGGTATCCGTGAGGATGCTCAGGGCAGACCACCTCAGCAACGAGTGGAAGGACAGCTTACAACGTGCACAGCAGGAATATCCAGACATCAAGCCGATTCTGGAATGGATGAAGGCCAGTGCTCCCAAGCCCAAGTGGAGCGACGTCTCAGGGATGAGTACGACCACTAAAAGCTATTGGGCCCAGTGGGACAGCTTGCTGCTTCAGGATGGAGTTCTGTGCCGTAAATGGGAAAATGTTCGGGGAGACAGCTGTCATTTGCAAATGGTTGTCCCTAAAGCTAAAGTACCGGATGTTCTACAGCTGTACCATAATTATTATTCAGGAGGCCATCTGGGAGTTAAACGAACTCTACTGAAGATCAGAGAACGGTTTTACTGGGTCCACTGTCGAAACGATGTCGAGGACTGGTGTTGCAAATGTACAAGTTGTGCGACAGTAAAGGGACCTCAGACTCGTAGTAGAGGTGCATTGAAGTTGTACAATGTTGGTGCACCATGGGAGAGAATAGCCATTGACGTGGTGGGTCCGTTTCCGGAGAGTGAAAGCGCTAACAAGTATTTCATGGTTGTGATGGATTACTTCACTAAGTGGCCAGAAGTCTTCGCCATTCCAAATCAAGAAGCTTCAACAGTTGCAGATAAACTAGTTCATGAAATCTTCTGTCGTTTTGGAGTACCTTTAGAAATTCACAGCGATCAAGGAAGGAATTTTGAGTCTCAAATATTCCAGGAAACTTGCCCAGTTATGGGTACTCATAAAACAAGAATGACTTCTCATCACCCGCAATCTGATGGAATGGTAGAGCGATTTAATCAGACATTGGAGAGGTACCTAGCAAAAGTTGTAGACAATCGGCAACGAGATTGGGACAAGCACATACAACCGTTTTTGTTGTCATATCGAAGCGCTGTTCACGAAAGTACAGCAGTGACACCAGCTTTCGCAAACTTTGGAAGAGAATTACGGCTGCCTGCAGACCTGATCACCGGGATACCACCTGATGCCCCACGCAGTATAACCGATTATGCAAATGACTTGCGGAATAAAATGAATGACATTTATGAGCACGTCAGACAATCGGGCCAGCAAATGTCTGAGAAGATGAAAACCCGGTATGACCGCAAAATGAACAATAAAGGGTTCGACGAAGGTTCACTAGTGTGGTTGCACAATCTAGTCCGCAGCAAAGGGAAATCTCCTAAGCTTCAAGCTAAATGGGACGGCCCGTACCGGATTGTAACCAGGATCAACGATGTAACCTACCGGATACAGAAAGGCGCAAGAGGGACTCCTAAGATCGTCCATGTGGATCGCTTGGCGCGTTATTATGGGGCCGATAATGCTCGGGACGAGCATGTCTTAGGAGGTAGCATGTAGTGTCAGGGACGAGAGCGGGAGGGGGGAGCTTTCCAGAAAATGACATCACTAATCTTTCAACCGATAGCACCATCTGGTGTCGAAACGAAGAACTAAGCTTCTAGAAGCCGACACTCGAACTTTCGGCGCCTTGTCGATTGGTGCGCAAATTTACTTGAATGTTCTGGATGTTTCGGTGCTAATGTGTATTTATAGGCGCTGCAAGGTGCGATCGGGGGAAGTATTGAATTTGGCGAGAGAAGCGAAGCTTCGGAGCGGAATAAAGTGAATCAGTGTGATTAATTATTAGTGTTTTAAGTTTAATTAGTGTAAAGTGAATTAAAGTGTTAATTTTGGTAATTCAATCGACAATTTTTATTGTCACGAACCCTAAACTCGTAACACTACTAACGATAGAGTGGGGAATTCTTCCGTTCGACGTTCCCCTAACTTCGTTCCGTTCCCAAAATTGTCTTAAAATTCGTATTCCACCACATAGGAGTGGTTTCTATAATTCCTCTTTTACTGTGCCTTGCCTGTTTATATCAAGAAAACTAATAACAAGAATTATTTTAAAAGACTAGTTCGAGAATTCTGTCGTAAGAATAATACCACCTGACTATCCGACTATTGTTTTTGTGTTTTTTTCTATCTTTCACTTTATAAGTGATATTTTGTATAATGTATTTTAATATGTATTGTGTTATTTTATTTTTGTCTCATAATATTTTATTTACTTATAGTTTTGTATAGAAGTACCCGTTTATATATTTATTATTTATCCTATATTATATATTAAGTAAGTATGTATATTTTACTAACTATATATCTATTCTATTCATTTGCATTTTATTTTGTTTTGTATCATTATTATTTATTTATGAAGTGATTGATTACACCTGCCACAGTTTCTCAAATCATCCAGGGTTGACTGGCAGAGAATGCCATAAGGCATTAAGTCCGCCCTATATATCCCTTAGTATATAAGGTGTATAATGAAGATTAAATAAATAAATAAAATATGTAGCAGTTATTGAGTTTTACCATTAAGAAATTCTCAGTAGCAACCTGGAGTCATGAGTCATGGTCCCATCGGACCATGAGAGTAGGGGTATAGAAGTGCACCTGTGCTTATTCATACACTTGGGCACTATAATCCTGTCCTGCCCCAGTGGCTAGTCTCAGTTGAGGCTGACCGCCGTGACCGATATTCGGTCTGGAGGACATTATTATTATTATATATAACTAAATATCTATTTGGTTTTATTCAACTTAATAGATTACATAGGTTTTGATTTTCGTTAACACTGATATAATCAAATATATCTTTACAGCTTTGTTTGCCAGCTGGTTTGCAGTTTAGAACTCAGAAACATTCTTTAGAACCAAAGTTTCACAGTTTTGTTGTAACAAGGGAAAATGCATCTCGATATTATGGATTCAGTCTCATATTCTATGAAGAAGTTAGAAACAGAAACATTTGCAGTGCAATGCATACTTTACAGGTAAATAACTTTTTGGATATTAAATTTTGTATAAGTACCCATATTTATTTTATGATATATAATTTTAATTGACAACAATTTTAAATGACAACTCCACGGAGGGGAGTAAAAAGAAGGAGGAAGGCGCATAGTTATCGAGAATTTTTTAAAATTGGATCTGCATAAATTTCAAGCAGAACGGCGACTACTTATGGTCAGTTTATCGCGTCGCGATTTAAGATTGTGATACAAAATAGAACTTTATTTACTACATAAAAAGATATAAATTTTATTGAGATAGTTCAAAAATGGCCAGCGGCGTCGCGCTGCGCCTCTGATGCCTCGTGGCGTAGCGTGAAGATGCCTAACGCAGTGAGCGTGGCACATAACTAAAGCCGTCGTGTCGACTTGTCTCTACTGGTACTATTTTTTAATATTATTTGCAAGCAGCTAGGTATAGGGAAAAAGACCAGTATCACTGCAACCTAAAATATTTATTGTAATTGCTGCTATGGCTAAAGTTCACTGCTAAGCCCTATGTCTTCAATGAATACCTACTTGAATAGGAGTTGTTTAGCTGTGAGTAATTTCATTTCTTCTTGGCGAAGTATATAGTTTCCCAGATAAGTGATACGTTTGTACGCTAAGGGTCCACAATCAGTTAGGATGTGCAGTGGTGTTTCTTCCGTTATGGAACAGAACCGGCACATCCTTGAGTTGCTTAGTCCCAGGATGATTTTTGATGATGATTTTTAAGACTACGGTGTACAGTTAGGGCTTGTCTTGCCTTATCTTTTTTTGCTTAATCCTAGGGCTTCTGAAGCGAATTTACGATCAAAAGCCAGGATTAGGTTTTAGAATGTTTTAAGCCTGGTGTATCAGACCAGATCTTGAGTGAATTATTGTGATAAAGAGTTTCTAGGGTCAATCGGGCTAGGCTTCTTAAGATTCCAAAAAATGGCTCAGGTCCAAATTCTGTACTCTTTGAACCCTCCCGTGCGAGTTTGTCGACAAGTTCATTGTCTACAATACCCGCGGGACCCGGAACCCATCTTAAGACGACCCTGTTGTTACATCCCAGGATGTTTAAACGATTCAGTCTCCAGTTATCTTCGAGTTCACTAAGTTTGACCTGAGCGCTAGCAGCGCTGCTTGACTATCAGATTTTTTATAAATTATATGGTTGACATAGTGTTTTTGCAGATTGATTTCCGCACACAGAAGTATGGCGTAAATTTCTACCTGGAAGAGAGGTGAATCTACCAAATTTTGAATTTGGGGTGTTCCCCATAAATTCCAAAGTCTACGTCATGGCCCATTTTTTGACCCGTCGGTCAGTGGCGAAGCTATGGCTCCCAACTAGGGCAAGCCCAAGATTTGTTGTTTTTAGCAGTTTTATAAAAATACACCAATCTTGATCAGTCTCTACTCTTCAGTTTCATATTCAGTGCTGTCAAGGACGTGTTTGACAAAGCACACAGAAGGCATACTAATGCTAGATAGATTGGTGGGGCCAATTGCCCCGATTCTTATCCGGCTCGTAAGAACCAGAATGGTGGTGTGACAGGCCTAGGGGTTGTTGGGTCAGATCCCAGGTCGGGCCTTGACCTTGTTATGCAAGATGTTACTAAGTGGGCTGTATGTGCGGTTTCTTGATACCCCAAAACAAGATGGCTGACATGGCACGCGACAGCCTTGGACGATGCACTCGCTCTTCCAAATCTACTACTTCATCAGTGTCTAGATGGAGGTCTACTTGAGCCGGTAGGGGAGAGAAATGTGACGGGGAAAACAAAAACGGCTCAAATCCGAATAAAAAGGGGAAAACTCACTTACCGGGGTGAAGTTCATCTGGTGCCTCGTACATGACGCTCCTAGTTGTGTGGTGCGTTGGAAGAAGGTGGTGGGCGATGACAACTCGCACTATACGAGGCGGTTACTTCTAGCGGTTCTATGGCTGACTGCTACAGAGGTGCGATCACAACTAGCGATGTCTTCGAACTACGATGCGAGAAGGGGTGAGTGACGGCAGTGGGCGTCCTTATATGGACAGGCCACTTCTACCACTTCCTTCTCGGCGGGGCGCGCTTCTTATTGGCCGAAAAGTCGCGTCACCTTCTAGACTCCCCCTTCAGTGCGTGCGGAAGCAATGCGTGGATACAGGAAGGAGAGACACTGGCGAACAATAATCAACCGAACAAAATATATAAGAGTACCCGATTCTTTTCCGCGCAATCATAGATTGTATGACATATCAGCAATTACATACCTTCGGTGGATTTGAAAAAAGCCGTTTGCTTGAGCGAAAGAAAAAGATATTAACTTACAATACAATACTTGAACAAAAGAAAAGCATGAACAAAGTACAAACAAACGATCTACAAAATTAAAAAGGAGATGCCTGGCAGATGTGAAACTTCGAAATTATTTTGTTTAAGTTATATGCATAGAAGAATAGATTACGACAGGAATTAGATATTGTATAATTAAAAGATAAAGCATAACATTTTTTTTTCCGTAAAATAATGACTGTTTATTATATTATTATTCATTTTCAATTTTAATAATGTTATTTTTAACTCATATGGTAATATAAATATTGAATTATCAAATTAGCTGATAGCCGTATTTGTGCCATCTAGCGTATTCTTTACGTACCACCGTGAGAGTCAATCAATTTTCGTTCGACAAAATGACCACCTATAGAATTAAGTAGATGGCGCTTTAAATAAAAATTTTTATACCGAAGGCCTAAAGGAAATATTCTTTAAAAACATCAATACATACATGTATTCTTTTGATTTATTACATTAAAATTTAGGCTTTACATTAAAAAAAGATTGTAACAATCATTTGCTATAAAATTAAACTTATACCTATCTCATATTTTATGCTGCTGTTCAAAATGATATTATCATATTATATATATATATATATATATATATATATATATATATATATATATATATATATATATATATATGTGTGTGTGTGTGTGTGTGTGTGTGTGTGTAATATAAATATTGAATTTATAAACCTTTAAATACGTCTAGCTTAAATAAACTGTGTGGCAGCATCGTTTCCGGGACACCTGAGATTTTGAGTGTATTTTGTTTGAATATTACCCCGACCCTATTCCGATGATATCCCGGCGAGATTAGAATGGCTCTCCAGCACCTTAAAAACGGCAGGGCCCCAGGCGAGGATGGAATTACAGCGGAGCTTCTGAAAGTGGGTGGAACACCGGTACTTGAAGTCTTTCAGAAGCTCTTCAATTCCGTCCTCCATGGTGCGTGGAGCAGAAGTGCGGTGGTCTTGTTCTTTAAGAAAGACGACAACGCTCTCTTGAAGAACTACAGACCGATTTCCCTTCTGAGCCGTGTCTACGTGCTGTTTTCGAGAGTCATTACGAATCGTCTCTTCCAGCCTCCCGAACGAGCCGGTTTCCGAAAAGGCTTCAGTACCATAGACCACATACATACCCTGCGGCAGATTGTACAGAAGACCGAAGAGTATAATCTGCCACTTTGCCTGGCGTGTGTGGAATATGAGAAAGCCTTTGATTCCGTCGAAATTTAGGCGGTGCTACAGTCCCTTCAGCGGTGCCAAGTTGACTGTCGGTATATCGAAGTGCTGAAGTGTTTGTACAGTAGGGCTACGATGCTACAAACACTTCAGGACACTTCGATAGAACCCGTTGGAAGACGTTTTCAAGCTACTGGACTGGAAAGGATATGGTATTAACATCAATGGCGAGTACATCACTCACCTTCGATTTGCACCACTTCGATTTGCCGACGATATAGTCCTTATGGCAGAATCGCTGGAGGACCTTAGCACTATGCTCAATGACCTCAATGGTGTCTTAAGATGAACATGGACAAAACAAAGATCATGTTCAATGTCCATGTCACACCTATGCCGGTATGTTGGGAGAACTATGCTCTAAGTTGTTGACGAGTACGTTTACCTGGGACAAATAGTCCGACTAGGTAAGTCCAACTTCGACCGAGAGGTCAATCGACGGATTCAACTCGGCTGGGCAGCGTTCGAGAAATTACGACACATCTTCTCGTCAGGTATACCTCAATCTCTGAAAACTAAAGTGTACAACCAGTGCGTGTGCCAGTGATGACTTACGGATCAGAGACGTGGTCCTTCAATGCTGGCCGTATGAGGACGCTCAAGGTCGCTCAGCGAGCTATGGAGAGGGCTATGCTCGGAGTTTCTCTGCGTGATAGACTCAGAAATGAGGATATCCGCAGTAAAACCAGAGTGACCGACATAGCCCAATGGATTAGTAAGCTGAAGTGGCAATGGGCCGGCCATATAGCTCGAAGAACCGATAACCGATGGGGAAGAAAGGTTCTCGAGTGGCAGCCTCGTACCGGTAGGCGTAGTGTAGGGCGACCCCCCACTAGATGGAGTGACGACCTGGTAAGACATGCAGGAAGTCGATGGATGCAGGTGGCTCAGGACCGTGCTTTGTGGCATTACTTGGAGGAGGCCTATGTTCAGCAGTGGACTTGTAAAGGGCTGTAATGATGATGATGAAATAAACTTTAATACTAAAGAGTCCTGTACCTATTAACCTCTCAAACGCCAAGCGTCCAAATTTGACCGCTTTGATATTCCGTCAAAATTCAAGAGGTCAAATTTGACCGCAATCACGCACAGAACTTTAACCCATAAATACTTATGTTTAAAGACTACTTTTCAAAGTTTTTCTAGTTTGGCATAGAATCATTATGAAATTTTCTACCCTCTAGTGGAATAAAAAAAAACAGTTAGTCTATGGATATTAATTCATATTTTACGTACATTACGGACGCCATTTTCATTTGGATGTTGTTGTGTTGATTTTTGGATTTTTCTAGTGTTTTATTAATGTTTTATTATAAAATTGTTATAAAAGTTTTTGTGTGAATATAATGAATATAACTAACCTTTTTACGTAAATAATTTCGAGTAATATGTAGAAATAATTGTGATTTTCACGCTGCCGACATCTGCTTCGTATGTTTTTTTTTTTTTGGTATCAAAATACAATAAAATCTTTTTGTAATGAAGTAAAACCTGACTTGTTTAAACCACAGGATAGAGAATTTTGTATAGATTTTATAATACCAAACTTCTTCATAGAAAAGTAGTCTCTAAATATAAGTTTTAATGGGTTTAAGTGCTGTGGGTGGATGCGGTCGCCTGGCAAATACCGAGCGGTATCCAGGCGCATGCGACTGCATGGGAATTTTATGGGGATTGAAGGGTTAAAGTATGAAAAAATGTTTATTGAAATAAAATTTCATTTTTAAAAATTTATCTTTTCCTCGCCGATTAGCACTTTAACTTTTTTCTATATCAATGACTTCAACACACTTCAATTCATCACAAGGAACACTTTTATCCTCCGTTTTCACTAGAAATCTTTAAAAAAGCATACATTTACAACTCGCAATATTCATTCGCTCAAGCTAAACACACAGATTAAACATTGAAATGTGAAGTGAACGCAAACGTATCGCCTGCGCTTCACTTTCATCAACTTCATACCAAAAGCCCGGCTTAACGCTCTATACTAAATTGCTATGTAAATAATCGTAGTTATATTTCATTATAGAACATTTTGCCACAGTTTAGAAATCGAGCGATCGTCTTCTCGATAGCCCGGTAAAAAGCCCACGCGTGCGAGAGAGACGACTAATCGCTTCACTCAGCTCTTTGCTTTCATTAATTTTGGCAGTCCATTGCGTGTTTGCTTTGAGACAGAACACGAATTAGTGTATTTCGAATTGAAAGCAATTTGCCAAGTGTGGACGTTAAATAATACGGCTACGAGGTCATGACCTATGTAGAACAGAGGAGCGCGCGTGAAATTTGAAATAGTTTGAAACAGTTCAAGAGTTATTTTATTAGATGATATTATTGATTGAGCAGTTTAATAGGGCAAGTCCGGCTTCTAGGCTTCTATGTAGGCTTCGCCACTGCCGTCGGTATACCATATGAGGCAACCGACCTCACAGATAACCTGGCCATTCAGCCAGTCTTTTCTGGAGGGTAGTTCCACTATATACTTTTATTAAAAGTGTATAGTGGACGCATGATATCTGAGATCATGCATAAGACCGGTGTTTCTTTAATTGAGTCTAGCATGGATCTCAATCTGTAGGAGAGCAAGCTCAAACCGCGCTGGGCGTTAATCCCATACAAACTAGTCTTCGCCTCCTTGTCCAGATAAAAATCAAGGGGCGTTATTATAGCTCCAGTTGCCATTAAGCAGATAGTTTCTTTGTAGACTATTTAGTCTGCCCGCAGTCGTCTTTTGGTTGGTCTTGGTGCACCAGACAGTGGAGGCGTAGGTGAGAATCGGCTTCACTATGCTGCTGTACTACCATAGGCCCATACTGGGACACAAGCTCTAGTTGTTCCCGATATAACGACTGCACGTACCTAAAGCAATTTTTTCCTTATGGCATACGTTGCTAAGGTGAGAGTTCCACGTTAGTTTCGCCTGCCTCCCGAAGAGCCTCCGCCGATGGATGGGTCGTCCAGAGAAAAGCTTGCTAGGAACCCATTCTCCTCGTCCCTACGGTGGAGGATTCTCCAGAGATCGGTATGGAGCCCTTCATTTTGTGCCCTCAAAATCACAGCAGCCTCCTCTAGTGAGTCAGCTTCGCTGCGGGGCAGATAGGTGATACCCAGCTGAGGCTTAGGCAGTCGCACTTGGGTATTATCGAGAGATCTACCTCCGGCCAGGGTTTAAGTTTTTAGATTTCACCCACAATCCAATCTTGACTTGCCTTATTCAGGCACGTTACCAAAATCTGGCTTGTGAGTGAAACCAGAAAATTTTGGTCCCATTTCCGGCTGCGTCCCACAGACTGTCTTAGCGATAGCCTGTGTTAGTGCCCGTAAGACCAGCTGCATCTGCTCCTTGCTTATAGAACTCGAATGGCGAATTCCTACACGCGCATTGCCAGCTACGGCACTGAAGCTGAACTTCTTCTCCCACGTTGCCAGCCTCACACACTTCCTGTGCTTGTCTTTGCGGGACTCCTTCTCAAACTAACTGCGTTTTCCGTCTTCGAAACTAGGGGAGGTTTGGGCAGAGGGATTTCGTCCCAGGGCAGAGGCAAAGAGAGAGAGGGCCTCTTCGGCTAATATCTCAGCTGCTATCAGCCTTCGGTACCTCTTCCTTGCTGACCCGCTAAGCTTAAAAGGCCTAGCGAAATTTTTCATTTCCCCTCCTGGTTCGTTTCCGATTGTGGTTCCAGGTTGGGGCGCGGTGTTGCAAGGTATTAGTGAGGCTAAAAGAGCCTCTTCCAAACCTGCAGATAGTTCTATTAAAGGAGATTTTACATTATTTTTTAGCATAATGTCGATTTTCGTACATTTGGGTCCCACGATTAGCTAGGGAAATATTCGGTCACCCCCGGCAGAGCCCCGCGTGCCGAGGGAAGGGTTAAAATACTACCCGAAACGCTCTGGTCTCTGGTGAGCACCGTTTGCGACTGAACTCCCCCGCAGCCACGCTTCCATCGGCACGGTACGCTAAACACCTTGGATTGAATTAGGATAGGAAAAAAGGGTTGGGATAAAAGAAAAGAAAAAGAAGATCTTCTGAGTATTTGTGTTCTGTGTGTTTCCTATTGAACCAGACCAAATAACAGGCGGCTACCACGTGAAGGAAGAACTCCTCAGACTTGCCCTGGGGATCAACACGACCTGCGCTCTCCCCCAAAGCCATTCGCCAAACTGCTCGCCGACAGGAGAGCAGTATAAGTGTTAATCTAGTCTTACTGATAATGTCAAAATGTTAGAATTAGGAATAGATTAACCCCCGCCCTACTATTACTACTAAGCTTCGCGCTGCTAGCGACTTCACGATGCGCCTCGCAGCCGGCAAGCTGCGCGGTGCGAAACCACGGGCCTCTTCATGCATCGTCGCATTTCTGTGTGAGCTGACCCTTAAACTTGATTACTGCTTTTTTATCCAAACTGCTATTATACAAAAAATATTGCCAGACAGGAATGCAATGGTTTCTCAAATTTATTAGCAGTATCATTCACGAACTACGACTTGCTTGTTTACTGTAGACATATCAGACATAGACATAACAGACTGGGTATTGGATCCTTTTTCAAATGTCAACACAACAGGATCATCCCAGTAAAAGAAGAAGAACTAATAGAAATGACGACAAATGAGTAATTCAAATTTATATTTAAGAATGGCTACTAAGAATTTTGGCTGCAGAAGCCGATCAACGATTTTTGAGAACATTGCAATCGTTTTATGGATGTTTTTAAGTAAAATCGAGCCTGGTATTAACAAAATCTTTAAAATGCATCAAATTCACCCTTCCCATTAGATAAGTTATAAACTCAATGACTTTTGAATGTTAATAAAAATACTTCTCATTATAATTTAGAATGTGTTTAATGTGTTCTCATTGAAACATTCTTCTTAAAATTTAAAAAATAGGTTAGCGTTCATCTCCTATCTTATGAATATAAAAATATTACACGTTTAAATATAATCGTGGCAATAGCTGTATCTGATTCGCGACACATGTTAAGTTAAAAAAGAATTGGGGGCTCTAGAAAAAAATATCCTCAAAGTGGGCAGAGGGCAAAGTAAGGTTGAGAACATATGGCTCTAAAGTAATTTGCAGAGACATCACATCCTTTTCTTAGAAAAAAACAGACTTCTATTAAAAAAAAACAATTCCTTGTTGTGAATAACCTGCGTGCTTAAGAAATAAAAAATCAACTTTTAATTAGAAGTTATAGTAGATTTCGAAGAACTAAACATAATATTCAAAATTACCGATAATAGCACCGACTTTAAAAGTTATTATGTGAAGTTTTTGCACCCCTTTTGGGTGAATTTTGGATTATCTCAAGCTTAAGGTTAAATATAAATGTTGTCTTAACAGTTACATTAAAAACTTCATGGTTTATTTTTTTCTCCAACCTCATATGGAACCACCTCTGAAATATAACCTCCTTAATAAACAATAATGATTAAAATTGGTTCTCAGTTGACGAAGTTACTGCATATTGTACATACAAAAAACATCAGTTGAATTGAGAATCTCCCTGAGAATTATTTGAGGTAATGCTTGATTTACAAACTTACACTGGAACAGCACGATGGAATCTTTCTACTTCTGTAACCAACTTATTATGTAAAGAAGCCTGTGACTGATGAAACCTTAATAGACTCTACTATGAAAGTAAAGTTTACTTTTAAGTATGTTTTAAAATGAATCATATTTACTTTTCAGGCAATGTACATCACAGAACTGTCAAGTGGACAAACACCACCTGGTCACAGGAAGAGTTCTGGAAAAGAAAGCTCTAGATCCTTACCTCGATCATTTAAACTTGCCCCACACACTGGTGCCGCACTTACGTACTATGACATAACCAAAGATAAATTATATGTAGCTAAAAGTATAGCTCTTATATGCCAATATCCCTATGTTAGGGTAGCACAATTATTTTTAGAAAATTTATTCAGGTAAGAAAATTGTAGTTAAGTTCAAACACATCAAATATAGGTTATTCTATAATATGTTATTACTATTATATTTAAATATATTATATCTACTACATGTTTTAAATCATCAAATATTAAGAAGTAAAGTCCGTAATATTGTGCAAATTTCATTATAAATTTTATATTTCACTATTATCTAAATGTTTACCTGACTATGGCAGAGCTTAAAAGAAAAAAAATATTATTTTTAGTTGGTATGTATGTATATGTATGTCCTTTTTTATGTCTGTCTGTAGTACCTAATCTACTTGTCTAGGTAGATAGGTAGGCTGATGGTTTTTACTAACCTAAAAAAAATAAGTAAATGTGTTGTTTATGATATTACTTGAAAGGTTTTAATTTAAACATTCTAAATATATATTATGCCGTGTAGTGGCGGTTGAGAATATCCACTACCCCATATCTTCACGTGGGTGTCGTAAGAGGCGACACAGGGAGACAGGCAGGAGATGGGCGGCAGCATCTTCCTAATAACAAAAATAATATAATAAAAAACTGCGGTTGCCAACCCGCTCGCCAAGCGTGGCAACTATGGCAAATATCCCCCCATGAATAGCGACGCAAACAAACGGCCCCCAGTCCCCGGCGGCCCCGCTATTCCTGGCTACGGTGGCGACCATGGTAACGGCGGGGCAGGGGGTGCTAAGAATCTGCGGTGGAGGTTCGGTTGCCACCTACGACGACTCGACCTGGCAACATATAACGCACGCACGCTGAGGACTGACGAAAAGATACTGGAGTTGGAAGAAGAGTTAGACAAGTTGCGCTGGCATATTATTGGATTATCCGAGGTCCGAAGAGAGGGGGAGGACACGGTAATCCTTGAGTCCGGCAACTTGTTCTATCACCGGGAGGGCGACCATCTGTCCCAAGGAGGTGTCGGATTTATCGTCCACAAGTCTCTCGTCAACAACGTTGTAAAAATTGGGAGTGTGTCGACGAGGGTCGCGTACCTGATACTCAGAATCACCAAACGGTATTCGCTGATGCGGGTTTGCGCACCAACCTCGGCACATCCCGATGAGGAGGTGGAGGAAATGTATGAGGATATTTCTAGAGCCATGCATTCCTCCAAAACCTACTACACGGTATTGATGAGCACTTTAGGCACAAGAGAAAGCGGTGAGCTGAAGTTAGGGAAATATGGAGTAGGGCAACGGAACCGTAGGGGCCAGCAGCTGGCCGACTTTATGGAGAAAGAGGGACTCTTTATGAGGAACTCTTTCTTCCAGAAGCGGCCCCACAGGAAGTGGACCTGGTCGAGCCCCGACGGTTCGACAAAAAATGAGATTGACTTCATTATGACGACCAGACGCCAACTGTTCAGTGATCGCAAGGGTGAAAACTGGCAGCGATCACCGAATGGTTAGAGGCACACTGAACCTAAACGTTAAGTTGGAGAGGTCTCGTCTAATGAAGTCAACGCTCCGTCCCCCTCGTGCTCTGATCCAGAACCCCGAAACATTTCAGCTCGAGTTACGTAACCGCTTTTAAGTGCCTAGAAGATTGCAATGCAGTGGACGATATGAATGACAAGCTCATGGAAACTGTCCATGCGGTCGGAGCTAAGTTCTGCAAGACCCGCCGCAGAAGAACACAAAAACTCTCCGATCACACTCTTAATCTCATGGCTGTTAGACGGGAGATGAGGCTGCAATCGTCAACAGATTTGACAGCATACAGGCAACTGAACAGACAGATCTCCAAATGCATGCGGCGAGACTTACGCAACTTTAATACTGCTCGTATTGAAGAAGCGATCGAGCGGAACCAGGGTTCCAAAGTCTTTGCCGGAGATCTGTCTGCCACTAATAGCCAATTGTCAAAACTGAAGACTGAGTGAAGAGTGGCAGCATCGTTTCCGGGACACCTGAGATTCTGAGTGAGATTGAGAGGTTCTATGGGCAGCTGTACACATCATTGTGGCCACGCTATCCAAGAGCAAGTCTTAGCGAGATTAAAATGGCTCTCCAGCACCTTAAAAACGGCAAATTCCCGGGCGAGGATGGAATTACAGCGGAGCTTCTGAAAGCGGTTGGAAAACCGGTACATGAAGTCCTTCAGAGGCTCTTTAATTCCGTCCTCCATGGTAGCACTACTCCGGAGGCGTAGAGCAGAAGTGCGGTGGTCTTGTTCTTCAAGAAAGGTGACAACGCCCTCTTGAAGAACTACAGACCGATATCCCTTCTGAGCCGCGTCTACGTGCTGTTTTCGAGAGTCATTACGAATCGTTGCACGCAGACTCGACGACTTCCAGCCTTCCCGAACAAGCCGGTTTCCGAAAAGGCTTTAGTACCATAGACCACATACATACCCTTCGGCAAATTGTACAGAAGTCCGAAGAGTACAATCTGCCACTTTGCCTGGCGTATGTGGACTATGAGAAAGCCTATGATTTCATCGAAATTTGGGCGGTGCTACAGTCTCTTCAGCGGTGCCAAGTTGACTGTCGGTATATCGAAATGCTGAAGTGTTTGTACAGGAGGGCTACGATGGCTATCCGAGTACAGAACCGGAGTACGAAACCTATCCAACTGCAGAGAGGTGTAAGACGGGGTGACGTTATTTCCCCGAAACTGCATTGAAAGACGCCTTCGCGCTTCACCGCTGCATTGGAAGACGTTTTCAAGCTACTGGACTGGAAAGGATACGGTATTAACATCAATGGTGAGTACATCACTCACATTCGATTTGCCGACGATATAGTCCTTATTGCAGAATCGCTGGAGGACTTAAGCACTATGCTCAATGACCTCAATAGTGCCTCCCAACGGATAGGCCTTAAGTTCAAAACAAAGATCATGTTTAATATCCATGTCACACCTATGCCGGTAGTTGTTGGGAGCACTAAGCTCGAAGTTGTTGATGAGTACGTTTACCTGGGACAAATAGACGACTAGGTAAGTCCAACTTCGACCGAGAGGTCAATCTACGGATTCAACTCGGCTGAAAACTACGCTGTACAACTAGTGCGTGTTGCCAGTGATGACCTACGGAACCGAGACGTGGTCCTTCACTGTTGGCCGTATTAAGACGCTCAAAGTCGCTCAGCGAGCTATGGAGAGGGCTATGCTCGGAGTTTCTCTGCGTGATAAACTTAGAAATGAGGATATCCGCAGTAGAACCAGAGTGACCGACATAGCCCAACGGATTAGTAAGCTGATGTGGCAATGGGCCGGCCATATAGCTCGAAGAACCGACAACCGCTAGGGAAAAAAGGTTCTTGAGTGGCAGCCTCGTACCGGTAGGCGAAGTGTAGGGCGACCCCCCACTAGATGGAGTGACGACCTGGTAAGACATGCAGGAAGTCGATGGATGCAGGTGGCTCAGGACCGTGCTTTGTGGCATACCTTGGGGGAGGCCTATGTTCAGCAGTGGACTTGTGAAGGGCTGTAATGATGATGATGAAATATATATTTTATATTTTTATAGGTAATTATATATTTTATTAATTATTTTTAACAATACATCACTGCAGAAGAGATTTTGAGATTTTTAATGGTTTGCTTGTAATATCATTTAATGTTATTTCCAATTAAGGTCATTGCCAAGACAACCTGGTCCAGGACTTAGCCCCGAATCTTATGTCTACAACCTGTTATATGAAGTACCTGTACCACTTCCTGGGCAATCCCTGCGACTGTATGTGCCACCATCTGAACCACATCTTGTTCCAATTCCAGTTGTAAGTATCTCATGGAAATTAATACGGCTAAAAAAAAACAGGCTTTGTTTATATGAACCATTCTTTGAACTGTATTCATTTATTTTTTTCTTTTAAAAATTATGCTGTTACTGTACTATTTACATTACATTGTTCATCGAATTTATTTAATTTCCTATTGGAAATCGTTGAGTGGTGGACTAGTAGCACTTACGGTGTACTTAGAGTTCTTGTTGTACTTACATAATCAAATATTTATCTTTGATAACTGTAAACACTATTCGGGATCTTATCTTTGATTTTTGAAACCCAAAATATTGTTCACCAACTTATCGGTTGAACATGGTTTATGTTCAACCGACCAATGGATCCTCTCCCTTACAATGAACTTTAAGTTCACTAAAATGGATTTAATCATTATTATAAATTTTAACTATTCTTACCTTTATCAAAATACCGTCTTTAGTATATTTATACATTTCTACTTCACATGTTTATCCATAATATACAAAGGCCTTTTATTTCAGGTGATAAGAATGCCAAATCCGCCAGATGAGTTACCACTTCTTGATTATCCTTTACGTGTGATGTTCTCAACTATAGGTGTTGAATGTGTAGTGCAGTTGTTTACGTGTGTACTTTTAGAGCACCAAGTGTTATTAAGATCCAGTGGTAAGAATGATTATTCTCTATACAACTTTCTTTACATCTGTTAAGCGAGTCACAGACTACGCAGATACGATAATATTTTATCTGCGTGTAAAACCTTAATTATCTGAAAGTATCACACACTACGCAGACACGATAATATACGAAATTATACATTCACTCGAAATCCTTCTAACTTACTAGTCGTGTTTTTTGAAGCGGGTTGCTTATACAGTGTTACCTACAATGTGTTGGCGTATAGAGTTTATAGTATTTACTTACTAGACAGCTCGTCAGAAAAGGATTCAGATTTTGATTTTGATGCACGTGTTGCATTAGCATTTTTACTAAAAGGCGAAGAATTTGAATAGAACATCATATAAAGTAAAAAAATTACCTAGGCGAATTTAATCGAATTTTTTCAGCGTCCATCCTATATTTATATGCAGGTAAAATCCTATGCCATATTTGTATCTGCAGATATATTTGTATGAGCAGATAATGTTGTCACTCTATCGATAGATGTTGGTGCTTACCAACGTAAGCACCAACATATATCGATAGAGTTTTGACTTGTTGTTGACTTGACGATAAAATCTATAATTAATCTGCGCTGTGTGTGTTAGTTCATTGAATTTCATAAGAACGATATTGAAAGATATGCGCTCAGATACAGATATCTTGTCGTATCTGCGTAGTGTGTGACACACTTTACAATTACAATAATACTGTAATAGCAATATTTACAAAAATACTGTCCTCGTCTCATGTTTTCGTTGCGCTTCTATTATGAATGTTGGCGAACCTTACATGTACTCCCAATATTTTTAATTTCTCCGAAATGCAGGTTTGCTCACAATATCTTTATCTCTCATCACTTGGTAAATCAGCACCAAAACTTGTGATAATATCAGTTATGTAGCTTGGGTGTTTTCTATAAAATTTTGAGCGAGCGCCTAGCCTTCACTTACCATCGCTCAGTTTTTAAATAATTTATAAAAGTAATGTATAAAATTTAAGCGCAAGCTTACTTTATTATTTGAATTTTAAAAATTGAGCTAAGACACATTCAAAAGTATATATGGGTCTACTACTACATAAAATCATAATATTCTTTAGTTCATTGAATTTCATAAAACATATTGGATATCTCATAAATACAGAGTATGTAAACAGGTTATGTTCTAAAATCATATTATTATTTTACATGTAATATAATTATATATAATATACAAAAGTTGAAGGCAGCCTGAGCTAACTATGACATTAGGACGTCAAACACCTCAGTCCCGTGACCACCATGGTTGTTGTAAAGCACCCGAAATATTAAAATTAAAAATAGGATTAATTAAACACACACAAACTACTTTTACGGATTTTATGCGTTTAGTTAAGTTATTTTTTATACCCGACGTTTCGATTGCTTTCCAACACCCATGGTCACGGGGGACTGAGGTGACTGACGTCCCTATGTCGAAGTTAACCCGGAGTACCTTCAGCTTTTTAATTATTGTCCTTGGTCCGATCTACGCAGAATGAACTAACTGTGTTTTGAAGTTTTGCAGTGGTATGCTTGGGTTTAGTTTTAATTTTATTAATTATAGGGTCCCAAGCAGGTGTTAGTACCAGCCTCCTTCTCTATTGAAATTAGGATGTTTTTTTGATTTCAATAGCCTCACGTATCATCCTTGGTAGGAATCGATGTTCTTTCGCGAGGATTTGCGGTCTATCAAATCTGATGTAATGGTTGGGGCCCCCAAGTTATGATCACAAACTGCAGACTTTCCAGAACGTTGATACTTCACGTCAGCTACATGTTGTTTTACGCGGGTTCTAATTGATCTTTTTGTTTGTGCTCTGTATGAGAGACCACATTCACAATCAAGCTTGTACACTCCTGCATCTTGTAGAGGAATATGACACTTGACGGATGGTAAGAACTGACCAATCTTCTTCGGCGGCTTGTAGAATGTTCTAATAGAAACTCGCTTCAAGATGTAGCCAATCTTGTCTGTGACATCTCTGACATATGGTAGTACAGCAGGTACACGCTCGACTGTGGCTGGCTTCACTCGATCACTGTGACGTTGGCGCGGGACTCGAAGCTTGTCGTGCAGAACCTGCTTGACGTGCTGAAGCTCGGCGGCCAGGTGTTTGCTGTCACAGATCCCTCGTGCTCTCTGTAACAAAGATTTGCCCACGGTAGCTAACTGTGAAGGATGATGGTGAGATTCACCATTTAAATGTCGGTTTGTATGGGTCTTTTTTCTATACACAGTATCACCTATGGTGTTGTTAGGATTTCGGATGACTAACACATCTAGGAAAGCTAAGGAATTATTTGCCTCTAATTCCATAGTAAATTGAATTTTAGAGTTTATGAAATTAAGATGTTCTAAAAACTCTATAATTAATTAACTTTTTCACGTGGAAGAGCCATGCTGCAGTTATATTAGTAGTATAGTTGAGCGGGTCGGCTCGACCGGGGAAGGACCAAGCTTTCACAGAATACCAGCGTCAAATAGTAGCTTAATGCTGCTGTGTTTCGTATGGTGAGTGTAGAGAACAGGAGACCTTTTTTACTGGAAACGAGGCATTTTGATTGGTAATCTAGGATAGATGTAGATGTCTATAGGCCACAGCAACCACTTACCGTCAGGTGGACTGTCTGTGGATGATGATGGACAAAGCATACCACTGAAAGACTTCAAAACACAGTTAGTTCAGTCTGCGTAGATGGGACCAAAGACAATAATTAAAAAGCTGAAGGTACTCCGGGTTAACTTCGACATTGGGACGTCAGTCACCGCAGTCCCCCGTGACCATGGATGCTGGAAAGCACTCGAAACGTCGGGTATTAAAAATAACATAAATAAACGCGATAAAATCCGTAAAAGTAGTTTGAATCAATGTGTAGTGTTCGCGTAAATATAAGAAATCATTATCCGTAAAATTAGTTTTATTCAATATATTTTATGTGGTATTACCAATATCCAATTATCATTACTATTGGATTAGCCCTCGTATTAAATGCACAATAATTTAAAAAAATCAATTATGTTATGCTATAACTTATGATCCACAGATTATAACAAACTGATGCTAGTATCCGAGTGTATAGTATCGCTTTTGCTTCCTTTCTCCTGGGCTCATGTGTACGTACCGATTTTACCGGCGCCATTGTATCATTTCTTGGATGCTCCTGTGCCGTTTGTAATGGGTAATTTCTCTTAACAATACTATTTATTGATTGATTATTATATTTAAGTGTAGGCCGCTCTCCACTAGATGACGTGATGACCTGGATAGGCAAGCAGGATCGATGGATGCTGGTGGTTCTAGACCATGTGTCAGGGTATTTCTTGGGCCGTCGAGCTGCAAATAAAATAGTCCAGTGTACTAGTGAATGGCTGTAATGATAATGATGATGATGATATTTGAGTGTTCATTATAATTAATTGGAATTCCTTTTTGTATTTCCTTATCTTAAATCAATGCCGGTGACTACAGGTATTATTTTTAACGAATTCGACTGTATTGTTTTATGTGTGCTATACCTCAGAACTTTTTTCTAGGTGAACCAATTTTGATGATTATTTTTTATTTGAAAGTCGTTTCTTTTCATGTGGTTGCATATAATATGATCATATAATCAATCATATATCGGATAAATTTGTGGTCGTTTTTTTAGAGTTATCCTTAGTAATGTTTACTTAATTGAATTCGACTAGATTGATGATTTTCTCATTTTATTTTAGCAGATTTTATAACTTATTTTCATCGAACTATATTACTAGCGTATATAACAGACACTCCGAACCAATAGTTCGCTTCATTTTGGTAAGAGTTTGAACTAAAGTTCGCTGCAGCGCTAAAATAATAGTTACGTCATCTAACCAAACTATTAAAACATGCAGCGCTAATTTGCATTAGGGATTAGTTTTCTCGCCACCAAAACGTCATAAGCGCCAGGAATTTCATGGCGCTTACGCGTATCGTTCAACGTACTGTACAACAAGTCGCTCCCATAGATTTTACATTTTTGCATTGTAACAATGAGAAAATCTTTAAATCAAAGAGTTTTAAACGTTTTAATGTCTGCTTACCGATGAAATGTTAAACCATCACTTTTTTTGATGTTCTGGAGTGTTTACTGCAGTCTTTAAAAACACAACCAGGCAGAAGTTGTTATTTATGCGAAGCGAGCACTACTCGTCTGTGCGTGTGCGGGCGTTGGACACTCACTAAACAGTTGCGGTACAGTTACAGTTACAGTGTACCGCAAAGCATGGCGCACAATCATGCAAGGCTTTGTCTTCTCTATACGTAGTAGTTCAATCAGTAGCTCATTGCTTATTTTACTACACGAACGCCAGTCTATAATATTAAAATGTGTAATAATAATATTGATATTATACTCAGGTCTTCACGCCGATAGTGCCGCAATTAGTATTGGACCTAGCGGACCAAGAAACTTCGCCCTTGGCTCCGAAGCGGCACTCTGTTTAGTTGACATCGACAAACCAGATATACAGCTGCCAGAAGAATTGCCAATTCTTCCTCATAGAACGCCATTTATAGAGGAGCTAAATCATGTTTTAGATAAGCATCAGGTAAATGTTTGTAAAAACAATAATTTATTTTTTAATAACTTTACCCAATTATATATTTAAGCAGGTGTTGTAAAATATTAAATGAAAAAATTATTAATGTATACATTCTATACATACAGGTGTCCGGTAAGTAATGGATAACGCTGCAGGTACTAGTGGGGAGCGCATCGGCCAGAAAATATAGTGACCAGGGTGGCCACCCTGGTCACCATACGTTTTTTCATACCATAGGTGCTCAAACTTCGTCATTGTAAAATCGAAAATTCGAATTTTAAATTATTTAAAAGATCATTACTAAATCTACAGAAAATGTTTTTTTTTTATAGGATAGGGTGACAAACGAGCACACAGTCCACCTGATGTAACAAATGCACATCTACATCTATCCTCGATTACAAATCAAAATACAGATGCGTTGTCACCCGTAAGGACCAAGATGGAATGCCTCGTTTCCAGTAAAAAGGGTCTCCAGTTCTCTACACTCACCATACGAAACACAGCAGCTACTATTTCAAGCTGGTATTCTGTGAGAGCGTGATCCTTCCCCGGTCGAGCCGACCCATTCGTGCTACAACTATACTACTAATATAACCACGTATACCACGCAATGCAAAATATTTCAAAATATATTGTAATATAAAGGTACTTCAACAAAGACAACAAGTATGCGTTGTATATTCTAACCAATCCGCCTGCCAAGCGTGGCAACTGTGGTAAAATCCCTCGAATACAATCTACGGCCCATGTGCAGCGGTGGGACTTTCATAGGTTGTAATGGATGTATATGATATCCTTGCCGCTCTGAACATTATTTTTCCTCGGAAATCCTCTTACACTATAACTTTGGAAATTGTAAAGGCCGCGTTTAGCATTTTTGTATAATATGTAGTAAGCATAGTATACAAAAATGTTTTAAGATAAAATAGTTGTATAAATTTTATTGAAAGTAATTTATATGTACATTATAGAAAATATGTACATATAAATTACTTTCAATAAAATTTATATTTATGGACAATTTTAAACACGCAATGAAAAAAACAGCAAATAATCTACTGAAATTATTAACTAATATTAATTTATCACTCCGTGTCCATGTTTTCCTTTCCAGTACGTCAGATTTAGAGTATTTCCCACATTTAAATTTAATAACAACTACATATTTTAGAAATGGTAAAAAATATGTGACATTATATTAGTGTGACAACAGTTGTAAATTAAATAAATAATAAACATGTTCTATACTTACTGTATTCATTGTTGAAAGCCCTATATATAGCCACGCAATATTGTCCGTGACGTAGTAAGGGGAAAATATCCGCGCGCAGCGATAAATTTTAATTTAGCTTGCGTGCGCGACTTATCTAATTGTTACAACGACGCAGATGTGTAACTTCTGTACGTAGTACTATTATTTATCGGGGGTAAAACCGTACATTTTTCTAGCTTTATTCTTATTGCACTGTTTAAGAAGAATGCCATCCTTATATCGCTACTTTAATTATTTGACTAAATCCCACGTTGGTATATTTGTTGTAAACGAGATTGCTAATCTCTAGGTCTCGGGGTTGAATACCTGGTTTTACTTCGTTATTATTAATTGCTTTTTCCTTCGTTTATTTGTCAGTTCGTTTACTATAAATTTATTTCCTAAATATATGGCCATAAACGGATTTGCTAACGAACTCTAAAAACTATAGCGTTTGTTACATATATGTATTGAAACTAAAATGTAATTTGTCTTAAGACTATCAAAATAATTTAAAATATATGAGTTAACATTATAATTATATTATTGTACAAATTTATTCATACTATTTATTATTTTCTTATAACAGATCCAAAGACCAGAAACAGAACATGCAAGACTTGGAGTGCCAATTAATGGAACTACATATAAACATATGAATGACGGCATGAGTAGTAGTTGTACATTGCCATCGGGTAAGGAATTGTTCTGAAATTAATCGTATAGATTTTTTTTTCAGATATCAGAGAGTAGAGGGATCAAATGAGCTTGTGGTTTCACCTGATGGTAAGTGATAACCGCTGTTCACGAATATATTCGACACCAGAGGAATCGTATGTCGGCCCTTGAGGCAGAAGTAGGCTCTGTAAGTAGTCGTGCGAGAATGAAAAATTCTGTAAAATCGCGCGGTGGTGGTCTATTGGATACTTCTGGACTGGGGATGGTGAGGATGGAATTAAGAATTTTGTTGCAGCGTGCGACGGAGAAACGGCGGCTGCAGTTAATTCGAACAACAGAACACTATTACTCTCTACCGAGAGAAGAATGCTATTTTAAAACTGAAAAAATGAAACACGTGTTTATGAGTGTATTACTTTTTTTACGGGAATTTCAAACCTTAGTTTTATGTAACTTTTTAACTAAGTAAATTGAAGTAATTTTGATTCAAGCGTTCCAACAAATAAACATATTTGGTGGATTACCACCGTACGTTTGAAATGTTTGCACAGAAATTAGTCGAAAAATCTATTTTAAATTATAATATGGGGTAAAATAAAAATAAAAATTATTTTTGTATAGTTATATAATTTTATTTTCTGAAATGCAGATGGTTTTACAATCTTTACATTATTTTTGATGTTTTTTATTGTTTTTGCACATAATATTTCCACGCATTTTCTTTTCTTATTTTAGGAAATACGCGATAAAGTGATAAGATGATTTTGCACTTCTTGTCTGCACTACACTTATCACGCTTTTGATTCTGATCACACAACGTGCATAACATTTTAAAATAATGAATTAAATATTCAATATCTCATACACAGTCAACATCTTACGACTGGAAATCATACAAACGAGAAAAATTAAGTATTTTCAACCGATAACTACAGCATCTAAACAGAAAATACCTAATAATAAAATCTAAAACTATGCGTGAACTCAACATGTTGGAAGTTGACAAACAAATGTCATTCTCTCTCTTTTCTTTTATTTATGGCTTCTTGTGACAATTTACCCAAAAAAAATAATTAGCTTTTTTAGTTAGTTCTGGCGTAATTATATTATTTTTGTGTCTAATTTTTAAAACGGTAATCTATAACAACGTGAAGGAATGTACAGTGATATACTTTTCTCGCTTTATTTTTAGTTCCCCAAACGACACAAAGACTAAATTATGATTGTGTGCAAATTTCTCAGCTTTATACAAAGACGGTTCACCCTGATGCGAGCAGTTCCTCGGAGCACTGCCCATGGTATTGCCATTTCTCGCTATATTGAGCAGGCGATTCGATGAGCGTAGGTTCTAGTCATTCGTGGTGATACTCCCCATCATCAATGGATAGATTTTCCGCAATCAGTTGATCGTCAGAGCCTTTACCTTAGTCGCACAGCATGAAAATAATTTCCTTACACCTAAGTGTTAGGTGGTAACTACATCATTCAGTCAGGTACTTTGATCTATTTTTAAGCTAAACTAATTTATAGTACCTATTTGAAATATACAAATAAGATGGTTATTTTACTATAAAAATATAACGTCATTACAAATTTTATTTTCAAATAAGGTGGTTATTTTACTATAAAAATATGACGCCATTACAAATTTTATTTCCAAATAAGATAGTTATTTTACTATAAAAATATGACGCCATTACAAATTTTATTTCCAAATAAGATGGTTATTTTACTATAAAAATATGACGCCATTACAAATTTTATGGTTGTTTGACAACTCTTAATAAGTATTTCAATTGATTATTGTTAAGTTCCCAATTATCCGACACAGGTGGCCTGCGACGCAAGCATTCCTTTCACGATGTGTTAGAGTGGGACGAAAACCGGCCTTTGAACGCGTCTCCACCTGGGTCGCCGGGAGCACCCGCGTCACCGACCCGCCGGGGCCCGCGCAGGCTCGACGCCTTGCAGCGAATTGTCGACATTGTCAAACGAACCGGTAACAACACGTATATATTTTGCTCGATTAAGATATTGATTAAGCATGTTAAAATTAAGCTATAAATATAAGCTAAGATCCGCATGTCGAAAATAAAAATGCTGCATCTAAACTAGTTTTAAGATCATATAATACTAAATTTTAAAAGCCCCTGAAACAAACAGATGATTATTTATTTATTTTATTTTTTATTTATTTTACAGTTTATGTACACACATACTTAGATAGGAAAATGGTAAAAACAAAATTATGTACAAAGGCACTGCTTATTCTTTAAATAAATTTCTTTCAGCCTTCCTATTGAAGGATAGTTGAAGGAAATAAAGGTAGTCAAAGTGTGCACTAAAACAAAATACAAATACAAACCTCCATATATACACACATACATTCATACATATATATGTATATATATAATACAAATATATTAAAGGAAAAAATTTATATATTATAATTATCTTCAAACGTCTGAAAAGATTTTCTTGAATCATAGCGAAGAACATTCAATAAAGTCACCTTTAAAAAAACTAAATCTAAATCGGTTCACCCATTTGGGAGCTACGATACGAACACAGAGACACAGATACACACGTTAAACGTATTATAACACCCTTATGTTTGCATCGAATAAAGATTCTGCGACCGTTGACTGAGATGGCTAACTGCTAATTCTCCTGATGATGCCTCGTTTAGGGGCGAAACACATGACTTATTATCGATGGCGGTGTGTCCTAATATAGTGGTGTTAGGATTAGTGGTGACGGTGATAGTGCACGCAATTAAGGAAGGAAGGGAGGTGCTGTTCAAAATAGGTAAGGCGCACAAATTTTATTTTTCACACGCAGATCTTAGCTAATTATTCTAATAGATATCGGCAAAGGAACATTTTATTAATTTAATTTAGATATGGATTATTTTTACTAGTGTGAGTGACGAACGTGCATCCAGTCCACTGATAGTGACAGCTGTGGCCCATAGTTACCTATTCTAGATTAATAAGCAAAATACCGATGCGTCGTCACCCCAAGGGATAAGTTGAAGTGACTATTAGTTAGGGGTTTTCGGTGCTCATCATTCACCATACAACAAACATTATCAGTCTGTTATTATATTTTGTGATCCTTTCTGTCATAAAGGGAACAAAGCTTTTGAATAGGTGTCACGTACTTTTGCTTTACAAAAATCGAAAGGACCTGAATTAGAGAAACAGTCCAAAACTGGATTGAAAGTTACCTTGAAAATTGTGAGCAGATTGTTGAAATTGCAAAACATACAAGGCAGTGAGTTCCTTGCAATACTTTAATATATATTAAAATGGACGGAAAATGAACAATTTTTTTTTGTTTTGTCATATTTTTCATTTAGTACAAATATTAATGATAGCCTATACTTGTAATGACACTTTGATATTGTCACCATAACTTTCATATTTTGCATTTTAATAGTTTTTAGACTACAATATGTACAATATGTATTTAAGACTTGAACGAATGAAACACTGGACCCGACATATAAGCGGACGTACCTATACCGGTCTTGTCCGTAACCAGGAAAATCTAGCCTTGGTCGTTTATTTTTGCGTCAGTCTCAAGCACAACAAAACATCTCCCAAAAATGACTAAATGTTCAGTTAAATGGTGTAAAAACTATAGCGGCAGAAGCAGCACTATTTCTTTTTACTTGTAAATTATTTTATTACATTTATGGTTATTTATCACAAAAATTAATCAAATGTAAAATAAAATTTTGTATTATCCAACTATGTTAAATATAGTCGATATTTCTATGTATTGTTGACATCTGACAACCATCACAAAATGGCTGGATTCAGAACGAATTCAGCATTCAGAACGAGTGACTAAAACTATGGAGTGAGTCAATTTGACATCGACTGTTGCTTGACCATGTCGAAAAATATATCGATATTGACGATATGACCGAATGAATGATGATGTTATTTGTACAATACAGTAACACTTAAATGCATAATATAAACACTCACGCCTGTCAGCCGGAGGGGTGGGCAGAGACTACGGACTTCCATTTGACACGATCCTGACATACCTCTTTCGCCTCCTTTACGTCCATATATCTACGCATACATGCTCGTCGGTTAAGGGTACTTTTAACGTGGCCCATTTTCAAAATATCGCCAATTTGGTCGATAAACTTTTTTCTAGGGCGTCCCTTCCCGACTCTGCCGTTCACATCTGCCATATAAATTTGCTTTGTCACTCTTTCCTCATTCATTCTTTCTACATGACCAAACCACCGAAGCATTCCTTTCTTGATCCTGGTCACAACATCATCTTGCATACCACATTTATCTCTTATCACGCAATTTCTCACCCTGTCATTCAGATTCAACCCTAGCATACTCCTTAAAGACCGCATTTCTACAGCATTTATTCTACTTTCGTGCTTCTTCTGTCACACCCAGCTTTCAATACCATACATTAAAGTAGGGACTAACACAGCATTATGAATTACCACACGTGCCTTTTTTGATACATTCTGGTTCTTCACAATAGAGTGTAGTGCCCCATTCACTCTATTCCCTGCATACATAACACTTAAAAATACTTATATAACGGTATCCTACAATCTGATGTCATTAAATTTATGATAATATTTTTATAATTAAATAAAAATATTATAAATGCAAAAATTATAATCAGTATCTGTACTTAAAATATTTAAACACATATTTTACACGAATTCCCAGTGACCCTTCTCGAAAGAGAAAGTGGGTAGAAGCAGTTCGTAAAGATGAAACACAGCGCCATATGCAGTGTACATTTCGATACTGCCTGTTTAATACTAATGCAAAGAAACAGAAAATGACACCAATGACGGCAGTCTTATTGCCCATAAAGACAAGGGAGAACTGATACTTCCCTCAAGTGATACCATAGCTATTTGTTAGCACTGCGAACTCGAACTTAGGAATGGTGTTCAGAATAAAAGACTAAAAAAAGATTACACAATAGACTTTCTTCTGCCGAAAGTAACAGAAACATTGCTGCAACTTCCGTTGTACGAAGACATTCATTTCCATAAATTTGAAAACGATAACGGTAATCACGTCGAAAAATTAACGAAAGCCATTGCTGAAAAGTATTTAATCATTAGAATTGCTTATATAAGAAAACAAGCGAACACAACAAATTCTAAGAAACACATTTTAAGAAAGATGATACATAATAAAAGTCAGTAAACCTACTAAAATAATTTAAACTTAAAACATTTGACGTTTATCATAACTACAATTGAATAAAAAGTTCATAGAAATATCCTGCTTCTTTTATTTCAATTAAAATTTAAATACCGGAAGCTTACCTCACCTTCATTATCCCTTTATTTCCTTTGTTGCCAGCTTATTTACTTTTCTTTCTCATTCATTCATCGATATATTTTATCGACTACGATCAAGCACTAGAAATAGAGTAAACTTCTACGAATTTCGTATTTGTGTTTATATTAACGTAATAAAATCTTCGTGCGCGTTATTCTCCACTTGGTTGAACGAGTTTTCATACATTTGTGTTTTATGTCAAGTCCAGTGGTTAAATCGTTCAAGATTTAAGACAACATTACACCGGTTCATATTAAGAAAATTAATGGAAAATGATAATCAGCTCGCCTGCCAAGTTTGAAAACCAAGACATATACACTATTCTTGCGGCAACTATGACAAAATCTTCCCTAAGTGGCAATCTTTGGGGATGCCTATGGTCAGCAGCAGGCTTTCATAGGATGTTTATTTATATAAAGTCCATTTCTGAACATAGGCCTCTTCCATAGAGTGCCTCGTAGGGGGATATTTCCCATAGCTTACCAGGTGAGTTGGCAACTGCAGTTTTTCACTAACTTTTAATTGAGAAATGAGTTTGTACTTTTATTTTGTCATTATTTTCAGGTGTGAACATAGATGACGTAGACTCGGATACGGTGATGCCAGCGACAAAAAAGAAAACACTCAACGACGAAGAGCAGTACAACGAAGACATTCGCTTCAACATTGCCATTAGAGAAACATTCCTTAACAGATTTGTACACATGTTCCTTATGTACGAAAACTTTGTGATCATGCCAGATCAGGTTTGTACGTTCGTTGATTTTTCTTACCTATTTAGGGCACATTACACGTGCGCCATTAGTGTATTTTAATTAAAATTTGTGTTTTAGAAAGGAGAAAATACGCTTACCAAAATAAATTTTAGAAAATGTGTCACAATTGGAAACTTATATTAATTTTTTTCTATTTAGCCTTTTTCATTAAAAATTGTGAACGGAAAAAACACGACGCAAGTAAAACTTTATTCAAAACTAAATGGTATTTTTGATCACTAAAACAAGTAACATTTTTTTATTTTAAATAAAATAATAGTACAAAACAATCTTACCTTAAGCCTCCCTCACCCTTTGATCGTCTATTTAGTTAGAATCTAATTTTAATAAAGCGAAAATTTTCACCTTTTGATCTAAATTGAGAGAGAATTTAAATAAGATATTTTTGTACTATTGTTTTATTTCATTTTCCAGGACCGAGATTCGTGGCTATCGTCGCGCGAGTCAATGGTGAATTTCGACAAAGCGTCTTTCCTTTCCGACCAGCCCCAACGGCATCGACCGTTTCTATCACGGTTTCTTGAGACGCAAATGTTCGCAACGCTCATAGACAACAAGATAATGGCCAACTGGGGTGAATACGACATCAACTTACAAGTGTTCGAGCATCGGATAAAAGTCGTAAGGTTGGTAAAAAAATATTTTTTGCCTGTGCACCTGCAAATGCGTGGAAGGCCTGGGTGGGTTAGTATTAACAAATTTAATCATTCTGAATAATACAGCCGCTAGAAAATAACAATTTTCATAACACTTCACGTACATAAGTTAATTTAATCTGCATTTAAATGCACGCAAATATTCTATATTAGAGATTAATTAAATTTATATTAGAGAATGTTCTTTAGAAATCGAATATCATAACCCCTCGTCTGTAACCAAACGCCATAAACGACATATATATCTATTATGCATAATCTGATAGCTTATTTAATAACGTTTCCATTGATATATGATTTCAATATACTTACTTAGTATATATATACATATATACATAGTATACTTGTTAAATACTAAGTACTTCGGAAAGTGCTCGACAGATGCGCCATATTGGCCAAAATGACCCTGACATTCGAGTGGATAAGAAATAGAGCTTTTAAAAACAAGTCTTTAAAAGCTTATTTCTTATCCACAATTTGCGAACCAAACAAATTACTATAAAAAAACTGAAATTTTCAATTTTGATTTCAATAAACGTTGTTAAGATTATAAAAAATAAGACATTGTTTGTTTTGTATGTTGTCCGTCTTATTTTCCTGTCTGATTTGTTATTTTCGCCAAGATTAAATCTAAAAGTCTAGTATTTTTAGGATATTATCTTATATATATAGTGTCCCAACGTCAGAAGGAGCACGACAACTGTTTCGAAAATACATACCATCTTATTACTACACGTGGTATATTGATTGTCTCGGGTTTAAACTTTGGCTTGAATTTTTCTCGCGAAATAAGTCCCTTAGCCGCGGGTCCACAGTCTGACGACATTTATTATTGCGTTGTAGCATGTTGCGGCTGATAGCTTATAGTTTGGTGTGTGCGTCTAGAGATGGAACAATGTTAAATCGGATTAAAAAAGGCGATTGACGATACCCACAGCAAAGCAAAAATTATCGATTAGCTATCGACATTGATTTATATGTTACACTAGATAAGTAATTTCCGCGCCAAAGCGTTGTCACTTCACATAAGGCCACAGCCTTATACTCAGCGAACGTCGGTTCAGTGTTCAAGGTGACGCCGTCCGAGTTAAGCCGAACGATTCACAACAAAAAATGGGTAAATGCGTAGTGAAAGAATGCGTTTCAAGGTCACAAAAACATAATAAATCAAGCGGAATCACTTTCCATACGTAAGTTTTAATTTATATATTCATATTAACGTTTAAAACACTAAAAAATTAAATAAAATATCGAATATTGCAATTTAGGTTCAATGTTGCCACTTTTCCGCCTTTGTGATTTTTCCACATTAATGGGAGACTGTATAATTTATGGAATAAGTTAATTTTGTTTTAAAATAAACAAGTAAAATTGATTGCTTAAAAATAAAAACTATGTTTCAACCTTTATACAAAATAATTATTCTTATTTTATTTTATTCATGAATTATCTATTAAATATATTTTACTACCTTATATCTTATATTAATAATTTTATATTAATTAAAATTTCATATAAATTTTATATTAATTATATTTCACTACCTATTTTATATTACTTGATTTATTAGTACAGTAAAAAATATTTATAAAAATATGTTTTATTTCATCATTATGTACTTCTAACTCATCTGATAAGCTTTGTATTCTTTTTTTCTAAGGGGACGCAATAAAGATTTTAAAATAAAATATACTTTCTTAATATAAAAACAATTAACTGAAGCTTAAAAAAAACTCATTTTTATTGCGTATTTTAGGTAAAATTTTATATAGTAAGCCACACCAACCCGCCATTGCATGTTTGTGTGTCTATCTTTATCTAATTTTAGCGACGATATTGTTTACGTAACTTGTGTAAGTGAGATAGATATATGTTTATTTAAAATTGTTATTAGTTTCAAAGCTACGTCGTCGCGTTTGGATAGTGGTTACACATTTTTCGACGCGCGGTAATGTGGTTTGCTCCTCTAGTTGTATAACTCAATGGCTATCGATATAAAAAATAAAGCTAAAACATATATACTTCGCCCGCGTGGTATTTATTACGATTGGTATATATGATACGGAGGATTCCGCGCAAAAAATTAAAACCCATGAAGGATTTTATTTTTTTAATTGCGCGTAATCCTAATTCTTTTTCTAACATAAAAGTAGACTGTGTTGCTTCTTGTAACATCAACTATCTGCCAATGACAGCTATAAGCCGGAACAAACAGACGGACAGGCAAACATTTTAAAAATTGTTTTCTTTTATTATAAATATTTTTGACACAGCGCGCATTTGCTTTATATTATTTTTTGCCTGAGCTGACCAATTAATAATTTATCGTCCATGCATCGGAAACAATGCGTATTCGTCTATGTGCGTTTTTTTTTCGTAAATCAGAATTTGTTCAACGATTAGTTCCAATCCCTATTATATATATACGTATTCACGTGATGTTTATATATTTTATTTATTTCAAATCTGATTATTGATTGATTACGATTGTTCGTTATAGCACGGCATAGTTTAGCGTAGCAGATTACTATCGTAAGTGGACGGTACCCATCCATGAAGTACAACAATATCTGTATGACAGTTTATCTAAAAAAATAGGAAACTTCATAGGCGTGAGCTGTGATTCGCACCATGCTACAAAGCAAAGACTAAAATTAAAATTAAATTTCTTATATATATTTCACGAAAGTATTGAAAAATTATATATATACAGGATGTTAGTGTAAACACCGTTATCCTTGAAACCAGTGGTTTGGTTTCACTTATAGAACGTACATTCAATGGAAAATAATTACTTTTTTTAAGTAAAATTACAATTTTTCAAAAAAACACAAAGGGTAGGAATTTTTGCCTGTCCTAAGCCAGGGTGAAAGTATGAAGGAAAAGTTCCATCACAGGTTATGTGTACCTATTGTGTTTTTATTGGAATGTTGTGTAGGTAGCTACCTAGGGCGGGCGGTGATCTTTACAGTGATTACGTCACTCGGGCGCATAGGGTATCCATGAATTTACGGACGGTGTCGGACAGAAGCTTTTTAAATTTTATGAAAGAAAATAGCGTTTTTTTATATTCGGATAACAACTATGGTTTTGGTGGCTACGGTGTTTACACTTATACCTTGTTTTATAAACTGATTCTAGTTTAAACCTAATACGAGGGGCACACTGAAATGATCGGGAATAGAATATTTCGGATCGAGTTACAATAAAACCTTTTTTAGAATTTGAATACTGGCCTCTTAGAATCTTAATGACATTCAAACATTTAAAAAAATGTTTAAAAACAAAAACTATGTTGGTTTAAAGTTGACACGTCGTTAACAGAAATAGAGCTCACGCGTGAACATTTCCGTGCCATTATTTATTACAATTTTCGTCGCGGTTTATCTCAGCGATCGTATTCCGATTTATGACGTTGAAGCAACGAGTCAAACGACAATATAACCTGGTATGCCGAGTTCCAACGCGATCGTGTTTCGCTCAGCACTGTTTCTTCTGCAGGTCGACCAAGAACAGCGGTCACGCCTGAAAACATCGCAGCTGTGCGAACCATTATATTAGATGACCGTCGTGTGACATATGATCAGATTCGGGTTGTTATCAGTATCGGAATGACTGCGATTCAGTCGATATTACATAATGAGCTGTGTGTAAGAAAGCTAGTTTCCCGCTGGGTTCCCCACAATTTATCCAAAGAGCAAAAGGCGGCTCGTGTAGATTGGTGCCGGAATACTCCGCAACGCTTCAACGGAGCGAAGTCAAATGCCGTTTATAATATCATTTCAGGTGACGAATCATGGATTTATTCATACGAACCTGAAAGAAAACGTCAGTCAGTAGTTTGGGTCTTCGAAGACGAGGTTAAACCAACGAAAGTGGTTCGCTCCCGCAGCGTGTCAAAGAAAATACAATTCCTTTACAGGAACGCAGAACAGTTACCGCTGAGTGACATATCACGGTTTGATAAGCCGAACTCCGAAATAACAACCCGAAACGTCGCATCCTCTTACATCACGATAATGCGAGCTCCCATACGGCTCGGAAGACAAATGATTTTTTGAAGCAGGAAAACGTTCAGCTTTCCTCCGTACAGTCCCGACCTGAGCCCAAACGATTTCTTTACATTACCTAGAATAAAAGCTTTACTACTCGGTCAACGGTTTGAAGACCCTGAAGCAGCTGTGGAAGTGTACAAATCAGCCATTTTGTCAACATCAACTTCAGACTGGAATTACAGTTTTAAGGATTGGTTTGCACGAATGGAAATGGAAAAGTTAATTGAGCAAGTAGATGAGTTTGTATATTTGGGTAGCGTATTTAGCAGGGATGGGAGATGTGATAAGGATATAGAACGACGAATGAATGCAGGCAATAGAGTAAATGGGGCCCTACACTCTATTGTGAAGAGTCAAAATGTGTCAAAAAAGGCACGTATGGCAATTCACAATGCTGTGTTTTTTAACGTATGGTAGTGAAAGTTAGGTGTGGCAGAAGAAGCACGAGAGTAGAATGAACGCAGTAGAAATGCGGTCGTTAAAGAGTATATTAGGGCTGAATCTGAATGACAGGGTGAGAAATTGTGTGATAAGAGAAGAGTGTGGTTTGCAAGATGATGTTGTGACCAGGATTAAGAAAGGAATGCTTCGGTGGTTTGGTCATGTGGAAAGAATGAATGAGGAAAGAGTGACAAAGAAAATTTATGTTTCAGAAGTGAATGGCAGAGTCGGAAAGGGACGTCCTAGGCGAAAATTTATCGACCAAATTGGCGATTCATTGAAAACGGGCCAAATTAGGAGTACCTTTAACAGACGAGCATGTATGCGGAGGTGTATGGATGTGAAGGAGGCGAGAGAGGTGTGTCAGGATCGTGCCAAATGGAAGTCTGTAGTCTCTGCCTACCCCTCTGGGTGACAGTCGTGAGTATTTTATGAATGGAAAAGTGCATTAAGTTGAACGGAGAATACTTCGAA